AAATACTTATGGTGAGGCCGCTATTAGTGAAAGAACGTATCGTGAGTGGTTTCAACGCTTCAAGAACGGTGATTTTGACGTCGAAAACCATAGCGGTGGAAGAGAGAAAGTTTTCGAAGATGCAGAATTGGAGACATTATTTGATCAAGACTCGTGTCAAAATCAAGAAGAATTAACACGATCGTTGGGAATGACTCAACAAGTCATTTCAAAACGCCTCAAAGCCATGGAAATGATTCAGAAGGAAGGAAATTGTTTGCTTGTGAACAGCTGCTTGAAAGGCAAAGACGGAAGGGATTTCTGCATCGCATTGTGACTGGGGACGAAAAATGGGTTCATTACAATAATCCCAAGCGCAGAAAATCATGGGGAATTCCCGGCCATGCTTCCACGTCGACGGCTAAACTGAATATTTACAGCTCCAAGGTCATGCTCTGTATTTGTTGGGACCAACTCGGCGTAGTGTATTATGAGCTGTTAAAACCGACTGAAACAATCACAGGCGATCGGTATTGAACGCAATTGATGCGTTTGAGCCGAGCTTTGAAAGACAAACGGCCGCAATACAACGAGAGAAAGGATAAAGTGATTTTGCAGCATGACAATGCTCGACCACATGTTGCGAAAGTGGTCAAGACATACTTGGAAACGTTGAAATTGGAAGTCCTACCCCACCCGCCATATTCTCCAGACGTTGCTCCCTCTGACTATCACTTGTTTCGATCAATGGCATATGGCCTGGTTGACCAGCACTTCGGTCTTATGAAGAAGTAAAAAATTGGATCAATTCGTGGATCGCCTCAAAAGATGACCAGTTTTTTCGACGTGGGATTCGTACGCTGCTCGTAATATGGGAGAAAGTAGTGGCCAGCGATGGACAATACTTTGAATCATAAATGTATAACCAGTTTTTTACAATAAAGCCTCGAATTTCGGAAAAAAACGGCGGAAGCAAAGTTATACACCTAATAATTAAAATGTCCATGAAATATGATTTCTAAATCATAATCCGCAAGGAAGGTCGATTTGTTTTTAGAAGTACGATTTAAAGCATGCTCTTTTGCAATATTCTGACATTAAGCTATGTATCAATCAAAAATTTTCCGAAGTTTCACTGCGGAATTCGATTTTATAAATACTATTGTACTTCTATGTTAGTTGACTTTTATATGTGCTGCCACCAGCTGCCCATTTTGATCTCAAGAAATAATAGCGGGCCAGGAAACCAGAAAAAGTAACCAAAAGTACTAAAAGTGCTCCAATTGTTGTTAAATTAAGTATTCAGGGTCGCTGATTTCGATTTTTGAGGTCGATGATTTCATTTTTGAGGTTGCTGATTTCGAATCTGAAGTCAAAATTTAGAAATTTAAAATGGCGGATCCAAAATGGCAGAATAGAATGTTAAAAAAAATGTCAAAACGCAACACGCAACGCATACTCCTGGCACATATCCATGCTCCCTCAGATAATTTTTTAATCTTTAAAACAATTTTTTTTCTTCAACGTACTTATTTAAAACTGACTTATTTCACTATGGTCCATGTATCGAAAACGATCATTTTATAAGTATGTATAGAGAAGGTTCACCTTGGATTGAAGCTGATGATACGCAAGTTACAAAAAAGCAATGGCCTAGAGCTGCTAAAAACATTTCTACATTATTTTTAGAAAATGTTGATAATAGATAATATGTTCTAGTATTACGCACACGTGTGAAGAGATATAGTATTAATCATATAAAAATATATATAAGATGTTTAACACTACAAAATACGTGATATCTTAACAAAATTACCTTTTTAAAAAAAGGTAAAAAAAAAGGCGACAAGTGTGCATGTACCTTCCATAAAAAACTGTACTTTACATAAACTAAAAAAAAAACCGTTACATAAATAATATAGTTCAAGTGGTAATGTTAATTTTTTATTATAAATTACCCCTCAGTAGTACGTATGCATGTATTAAAAAAGAAATGAAATCAAATCTTTAAATTACGCCAATTGCAAAACGAATATATAATTTCTTGCAACATATAACATATACTATTGTATTTTGTAAATTGCGAAAAGAACATATATTTTATTGCAACATATAACATTTAATTAACGAGACAAAATGATACGTACCTTTATCTTTCTATTCAAGAGTCTTTTATATTTGCAATGGAATACAACATTTAATCTAAAAAAAATTAAAGACGAGGCATCACAAAATGAGAAAATTTTATTAAAATAAAATTTTTTATGTAAAAAATACTTGGCGCGCTGCTAGACCTCAAAATATAATAAGTAAATGTTATATAAAGGAAATAAACAATGTTTACTGTTTAATTAACAATAATTAACATTAAAATTACAATCACACAATTACACACACACACACACAATTAAGATTATAATTAATTTTAAATCTACTTTTAAATTTAACTTAAACTGCACGTCTTACAAATCTGAAATCATTATTTCTATACTAGTTTATACGCTTTTACAATATATAACGCATACCATATAAATACGTATTCTATATTAAATCTAAGCTGCATACCTATCTAAATCTGGTCGCACATATGAACACGCTGTATATTACTAATTCTCTTTCTTAAATCTCTTCATTACTTTTCATATTTGGTATTTTTAATTATTTGCTTGTACGCACACACACACACATCCA